ATAGAGCAGGTCACAGGCGGCAGCTCCGTACCCAACACCAGAAAACCGAGAGAAAGAGGGACTCCCAGAAGCTTTCACTCAGGCAGCATCCCAGGTAAAAATGAATCACCCGTGATGTCTGCGGTTAGAAGTTCTAATCCAGATACTGGCCTCCGAACTTATACTACTCAGACCTTTGAAGGGCCACTGACAAGAACACCAAACAGCTAGAGATTGACATCACTAATCTGAAGAAATCCCTCATTTCACCATCAGAAGAGACCTCGTAAAATCACAAAGATCCTTATTGGACTTGATTTACTCTAGTACAATAGAAAAGACTGTGTACAGCTCTTGACTGTGTACAACCCTCAAAGAAGAAGGTTGCCTTTACATAGACAAGACAAGGATGGTTAAAGAGAGCATGAAATAGGTAGTGAAGCCTAAGAAAAATCAGAGAGAGAAAGAGACAGATGAATGCTGGTACAAGAATTGATTTGCAGCCTCTCCAAGGTTGTCAACCCTATTTCCTTCCATCTTGGGACCATTATTTGGGTTCTTTTTGCTTTTTTCTGCTGGTCCCTGGTTCTCAAATAGGCAGACTAACTCTGTGATACAACAGATAAATAATTTGGTAGCAAAACCTACTCAGATACATTATCATAAGTTAGCTGTGGAGGACCACGAGACTCAAGATGAGGTTGTTACTTTATACAGGGTGTTTCCAAAATCCATCTCCACCCAACCTAAAAAGGGGGGACTTCTGCCCCTAGACCAAGCAGAGAGGGGCCACCCAGAACCCCCTCTGACAGGCGATCTGAATTCTTGCTTAGGCTGCGAGGCTAAGCACTGCAAGGGAATATCAATAAAAGATAAAAATATCTATTTGGGTTCCCTGAGGGACAAGCCTGACTGCATAGGGGTTGATGTCAAAAGGATCCCCTCTCCAGAAAAAGACATCGGGATGGGTATGGCCCTCATGCCTCACTGGACAACAACAGGGGGACTGGAGCCATTACAAGGTCCCCTTCAAATACTGGAGGTCAGACCTCTATCCCTGCCTTCGCAAGATTAGAATTGCCACAGCCCTTCTATACTTAGAGAAGGGAGGAGATGTCAGGGACATCCCTGCTTACACACTGTAGGCCTAAAATCAGCCATAGGCCTAAATTCAGCAGTGGGCCTGTCATACATGTATACTAACACCAAGTCTTGGGTCTCAGTGGAAGAACATTGAAACAGATGGTTATAAGCTAATGTAAACAGGCAGCTTTTGTGGAAATTTATAAACCTGAGTGGTCGTGGACCTTGTAAATAGGTAGCCCTGGCAGATAATACCAACTTAGATGGGGACAAGCAAGTCATAGGCAGAGTCATGTTGACTTGTCCCCTGAACCTTCACCCAGCCGATACCTGGTTCTGAAGATACCTGTATTCCCCCTGAGCACCCACACTCCAGTGTCATTCCCTTCCCCACGTCCTGCCTTTCTGTGTTTATACCCCTGTGTGAATTAATTATGATTTGAGAAAAATTTAAAAAAAAAAGAAAAAAAAAGAAAAGGGCTTATTGTAACATGTGTTCACACTCTTATGTCCTATTAGTAGGAAATAATAGCAATATTCTACGTTCTGAAAATAATACTTTTACTATGTCTTGTGTTGGCTGTAAAGTGACAAATTGTGTTCTAAAAGCCTATTCTAAACATTCTGTAATGATTTTACAACAACCTGCTTTTGTGATGGTTCCTGTAAATATTTCTAAAGATCGGTTTGATGACAAGAGTTTAATAGGTAATTGAAGGGTTAACATATGCATTGGCCAGGCCTACACACATGATTGTTTTTATTAGAACAGGTGCTGTAGCTTTGATTACTTTAATGGCCACTGCTACTACAGTTGCTATTGCTCTATCCCAACGTGCTCAAACATCTCATTTTGTATATGACTTTTTCAGAAACGTTTCCATGGCTTTGTATACTCAGAAGGATTATGTGCAGCCCTCCATGAATAGTGTTGTTTTTACATTGATTATTCAGAAGTAGTAAAGGATTCTATGGCTAAAGTTCTAGAAGGACTGGCCAAAAGGAAAAGAGAAAGAGAACAGAATCAGGGATGGTTTGAATCCTGGTTTTCTACTTCTCCATGGCTTACCACTTTAATTTCTACATTGCTTGGACCATTAATAATTATAATTTTGTTGCTTCTGACTTTTGGACTTTGTATTTTAAACAGATTGGTTGCCTTCATACAAAATCGCTTTCAGTAAGCTCAACTATTCACAATGGCAGTTACTCATCACTATGAAGAAATGCATTAAGTGTAATGAGAGGTTCATAGAGTGAGTGGAGGCGCCATGGGAAAAGGGCCATGCTGGAGTCTGGAGGGCAATGGGGGTGTGTCTCTTGAGTTGATGGACAATTTCTTGTTTTGGCCATTTTTGTTACTGCTTTGTCTGTTACTGTTTTATATCTGCCATGTTGTGAACTCTTAACTCTTCCTCCTGCCTTTTTACATCTCTGGAATTACCAAATCATACAACAGTGTAAGCAAAATAAACCTGTTCTCATTAGTCACAACAATGATAAATGCAGGTAACAGCAGGTTTAAAAACCTGAATGTTCACTAGAGAAACAGATACAGAAAATGTGGTACATTTATTTACACAAGAAAGTACTACTCAGCTATTGAATTCATGAAACTCCTAGGAAAATTGATGGAATTAGAAAATATCATCCTGAGTGAGATAACTCAGTCACAAAAGAACACCAATGGTATGCACTTATTGATAAGTGGATATTAGTCTAAAAGTTTTTTATACCCAAGATACAATTCACAAACCATGTGAAGCTCAAGAATAAGGAAGACCAAAGTATGGGTGCTTCAGTCCTTCTCAGAAGGGAGAACAAAATACTCATGGGAGGAAATATGGAGACAAAGTGTGGAGCAGAGGCTGAAGGAAAGCCCATCTAGAGACTGCCCTACCTGGGGCTCCATCTCATATACAGACACCAAACCCAGACACTATTTTGGATGCCAAGCAGTGCTTGCTGACAGGAGACTGATATAGCTGTCTCCTGAGAGACTCTTTCAGAGCCTGGAAAATACAAAGGCAGATGTTCAAAGCCAACCATTGGACTGAGCATGGCGTCTCTAATGGAGGAGTTAGAGAAAGGACTAAAGGAGCTGAAGGGGTTTGGAACCCACAGGAAGAACAACAATATCAACCAACCAAAAACCCCCAGAACTCTCAGGGACTAAACTACCAACCAAAGAGTACAAATGGAGGGTACCATGGCTCCAGCCACAAATGTAGCAGAGGAGGCCTTGTGGGACATCAATAGGAGGAGAGGCCCTTGATCCCGGGAAGGCTCCATGCTGCGTGTAGAGGAATGCCAGGGCCAGGAGGCAGAAGTGGGTGGGCAGGTGGATGGGATAGGGGGTTTCTTGAGGGGAAACCCAGAAAGGGGATAAAATTTGAAATGTAAATAAAATATTCAATAAAAAATGGGAAAAAAAAACAAAAAAATCCTCTGAATGTAAAGTTGAATGAATGAATGAATGAATTGAAAAACTCCAAATGTATGAATGAATGAATTGAAAAACTATAAATGTAGTTGAATGAATTGAAAAGCTATGAATGTGCAGCTGAATGAATGAATGATCTATAGAGCTAACAGAAGAATTTTAAAAATGCAATAAAGCCTGGCATTTTGGTACATGCTTTTAATCCAGCACTTAGGAGACTAAGGCAGGGGGATCTCTGTGAGTTTGAGGTCAGACTGCTCATCAGAGTGAGTTCCAGGATGACTTGGGCTGGGGCAGGGTGAATTGCCTCCTCAAAGACTGTGTGTCTCAGGCTCAACTGAGAGGAAGCCACCAGGAGAGGAATAAGATAGAGCTGACTGGAATTTCCTTCTCTCCCTCCTTCTATTCTTCCTTTCTTCCATCCTTCCCTCCCTTATCCCCTCCCTCCCTTCTTCCCTCCCTCCCTTCCTCCTGTCCTCCCTCCTTTCCTGGCTTCCATTTTTCAGGCTGGGTATTGAGGTGTTGACTCCTGGGACTTTACCCAAGACAAAGTGAGGAAAAGGAGCTGCTCTCACCCAGGACTGAGAAAGTCTCCACGTTCTCTTCGAGGTATGTGGTGGTTTGAATATTCTTGGCCCAGGGAGTGACACCATTAGGAGGTGTGTCCTTGTTGGACAATGTGTCTCAATGTGGCCATGGGTTTTACGACCCTTTTCTGTGGGAAGCCATGGCAAGGCCTTACTCTTGGCTAACACTCATCATTCGGTCTCCTATCTACTATTCTTTCTGCTTACCTGCCATGATTCACTTGTCAGTTCTCAGAACTTCAAACAAGGCCTCATAGCAACCGACCTTAGTAACCCTTTCTCCAGATCTTTAGATTTAGCCAACATCCTGCTAGATAGATGTTTTTAGAACCCCTGGTAATGGTAAGGCTTTGTGAGAACAACCTAGTTAGACCTCCACAGCTGCAGCTAGCTTCCTCCACCTGCAAAGCCCTCTTTCCTTTCCTACCCCTCCCCATATCCTGTTTTCAGAGTATATAACCTGTGTGAACAATAAAAATTTTGCCAGCTTGATCAGAGTTCTTGACTTGCTGTGCCTCCTTATTTTCTCACGCATCTCAATCCTCTCCACAGGGTCTAAGGGTCCCACTTGATTGTCCAGCTGGCCTGGACACTCTTCCTACTGACTTGGAAGCCAGTCTCCTCTTAGTGGTCTTCAGATTAAGGTTTAGAACTCTCAGCTCCTCCTGCACCATGCCTGCCTGGACACTGCCATGCCTTGATGATAATGGACTGAACCTCTGAACCTGCAAGCCAGCCCCAATCAAATGTTGTCCTTATAAGAGTTGCCTTGGTCAGGGTATCTGTTCACAGCAGTAAAACTCTAAGACAGAGCTCTCATCTGTATCTTTGACTCCCCAGCAGGCACTCAGCACAGAGGCTCTAGCAGTCTTAGGCCATGTGCAGGAGTGGGGACCAAGACTGCTTACCTGGGGTGCTCATGACAGCTGCTAGGTCTAGGTGTCAGGCAGTGGACTTGACAGGTGTTGTTACAGCTCACCAGGTGTCCAGGCTACAGAAGGAAAAGGCACCCTGTGAGATAGAATGGGGACAGCTTAGTGATCAGGGATCTGGGACATACAGTCCTTTCAACAGTGGCTGCCAAGGACCAAAAGAACTTGGCCCTCAGTTCTTCTGTTCCCCTGGGCTCTATCACTGCTATTTAATGAAGTCGGTCTTGTGACCCCAGCCATGCTGCTCTTTCCCTAGCAAGATGGAGGACTGCTGTCCTGTGGGGACACTGGAGAAGGCATTAGCTGAGGACACCGTTGTGGAGAAAGGACTGAGTCTGCACACAGAAAGAGAGAAGGAGAGGAATGTTCTGGTAGCCATCTGCAGGTGGAAACTGTGTATTTATTAATGGTTACTTGGTATACTTACTGTCTCAGTCACTGTTTCATTGTTGGGAAGAGACACCATGACCAAGGCAAGGCTTATAAAGAAAGCATTTAACTGAGGCTTGCTTACAGCTTCAGAGGGTTCATCCATTTATCATCATGGTGGGGAGCATGGCAGCATGGAGGCAGACAGGGTGCTAGGGAAGTTGAGAGTTGTACATCCAGATCCCCAGGCAGCAGGAAGAGAGACACTGGCCTGGCCTGGGCTTTTGAAAGCTCAAAAGCCCACCTTTAGTGACATACTCCAACAAGACACACTTTCTAATTCCTCCCAACTAATGCCCAAGCATCAGATATATTAGCCTATGGCGGCCTTTCCTGGTCAAGCATCATCCCTTACTCTCCGTGATGCTCTGGGCTCATTACTCATATGTAATGAAATCCTTACATTTAGCTACTGTGTGACTTTTCAGTGTGGATAGAGTGGAATGTCCTTGAACCTGGGACATTCTAATCCATATCCCGCTTCCAGATGAGCAAGCTCTAGTATCTAAAAACACACCGCATTCCCTCCTGTCACATTACATGTGTGCATTGTAGTACATGTTATATGTAATACATGTAGCATGTTATAAATGGGTCTTCTGTATTCACAGCACTGCCTCATGCCAAGTACCAGGTCCTCAGTTTAGCACATTCACTGGGCTATCTGTGGCTTCCCAGGGACCACACTCTCCTTGCTTCTGTGATATCCTTGTCCCATCAGGCCCTGGATTCCTGCCTGGTCCCTGCCCTGCCGTGTGCTGCCCTTACCTCCTGCTCTTCTCCATGACTCCTGGACCTTACATTGTTGCTAGTCATATGTAATACAAATGCAGAGACTGTCCTCATTCCTGTCAGTGCCTGCATTTGAGGTTATTTCCTTATGGCATTTGCATAAGTAGATGATAACTGGGTTAAAGGACATTTACATCTAAACACAGGCCATGTGTGAGAGTGTTCACTCCTTCATTCTTACCAGTGCTCAGAAGATTGTGTGTGTGTGTGTGTGTGTGTGTGTGTGTGTGAGAGAGAGAGAGAGAGAGAGAGAGAGAGAGAGAGAGAGAGAAGAGAGAGAGTCACCATCCTCTGCACCTGTGCTGTTGTGCCCAATCCCCCGTCTCTATGCATTTCCCTGAGAAGACTGCTCAAGGAGAAATCCAAACTTAGGTGGTAGGCTGCCAAGTGTGTCTCCTTGTTCCTGTTTTGATCCTTGTTCCTGTTTTTATTCCTGTTCCTGTTTGTGTTCCTGTTTTGTGGGGAGTATAAAAGGGAGCTATGCAGTTGAAAATATAGCATTTGGTTCTTTACCAGATGATTCTTTGTCTTTCTTTCTCTCGCCCTCAGCCCTCCACCGATCCAAGGAACTCAGTCAGCTATGCTGGCGTAGCTGACAAGTGGAGGTTATCCACCGAGATCGCAAAGATGAGGAAGATTGCTGACGGGCCGTCTCCGGGGCACGCATAAGGACAGGAGACATATTGGATATGAACCGAAGGTAAGTTTTTGGGGTAAGTAAACGCCATGGATTTGGCGCATAGTAAGGAGTTGCTGGCTAAGCATCTATCTACTCTTCTGACTCAGCGGGGAACCGCTGTTGAAGCTAGGGTTATTGAAGAATTTACAAAAATCTCTCCATGGTTTGTGGTGAGCGGCACTTTTAAGCTGGAAGACTGGGAAAAGGTAATAGGTGATTTTGTGCTGCTGCCGATCGCCATGGCCCTTTATTCCTTAAAAAATCAGTTTGGGGCGTTTGTCTTTGCCTGTGGCGATTTCTTTCTGTACAGTTTTCTCCCTCTTCTGCATCTCTGGGTTGCAAATGCCATCCTCCCTGTCCATGCTGCTTTCGAGGATCGCTTTCAGGGATCGCTTTCAAGGATCTTTGCCTGCGCTCTTGTTTTTAGACGAGAGTGAGGACTGAGTTGGAGACTTTTTTCCACTTTTTTCTTTTTTTTTGTTATTTTTTTGAGAGGGGAGAATTTCATCACAGATAGAGGGGTGGGGTCTGGCTCCAGAGGAGGGTCCCCAACCTCGCTGTGGGGGCTCATGTTTCTCTCCACTGTGCTCTCGCTCTGGCTGACGAGTGGAGAGGTCTGTGGGCCCAGCATTGACATCCACGACGACTGTTGGTAGCTGGGGCGCCTGGAGAACTGCGCGGTGATCGGGGGATTCCTCCCGTCCTGCTCATCTCCAAGGCCAGGGACTGCCAAGGCTGCCGCTTCCCCAGGCTCACAGTCATCACCTAGTGCTTGCTGCTGTTTCGAGTGGCCGGCTTCGAGAGCCTGGGGGACCTCTTCCCGAACCTCATGGTCGTCCGTGGCTGGAAACTCTTCTGCAGCTGCACACTGGTCATCTTTGAGATGACCAATCTCAGACATATTGAGCTTTGTAGCCTTGAGGAACAATACTCGGGGGCCATCAGGATTTAGAGAAACGCTGACCTCTGTTGCCTCTCCACCATGGACTAGTCTCTCATCTTGGATGCTCCAGGGACATTGTAGGGGAGGCCCATGTGTGAGAAGACCACTGTTAACGATGAGCGCAGCTGCCACCGCTGGACTGCAGATCGCTGCCAGAGAATGTGCCCAGGTGTGTGCAGGAGGTGAGCCTGCACCGAGAACAGCGTGTGCTGCCACCCGGAGTGCCTGCGTAGCTGCCATACACCTGACAGGCATTGCCTTATCCAGAAACATACAAACTGCCCAGACATTGAATGAACTTTCCGGGAGGGTACAGATACATTGGTTTCTCAGAGTGATATTCAGTCTCATTTTCATATTGCTGTTTTAGATTCAAATCAACAAATTGCTTTGGTTCAAGAACAAGTAGATTTTATGTTATTCACCAGACATGTTGTTAGCTATGATCCCTTCTTTCATGCCATTTGTGTTACACCTGTGCATGTAATTAATGCTTCCTTTTCTGTTAAGTATTTGAATCAGTTGATTTCTGGCTCTTGGAATGCTACTTATTATTATCTTACTCGGCAGCTCTTTAATAAGATTGTATTAGTTAATAATACCAGAGTTGATCCTATTGATGGGTCATCTATCTTGAGCATGTTTCTTCAAGTGGGAAAGCTGGTGAAAGAGTGGACTGGAGTTACTTCCTTGGCAGTTTTAGCCTAATTTTGCTAATGCTTGTTTTTGGGTGTCTGTGCCGCCTTTGGGCACAACAGGTACAATCTCAAGCTGTTGTGCGAGGATTGGTGCTTTTACATGGTCCAGGGGAATCCCTCTGCCCAAGTGTGGTTGACCATGTTACAACCTAGGCCCGAGCTGCAGCCAGGACTGCAAGGGAGTTCCCCTGAGAGACATGCCTGGCTGCATAGGGGTTGGTGTCGATACAGTTCCCCTCCTCAGGAAAAAGACACCGGGATGGGTATGACCATACCACTTCACTGTACAATGGCAGGGGGCTGGAGGTCATTACAATATCCCCAATATTCACTGAGGGTCTGGTCTCTGTCTCCGCTTGGCCTCTAATTAAAAGAAAAAGGGTGAATTGTGAGTCACCATCCTCTGCACCTGTGCTGTTGTGCCTAATCCCCCTTCTCTGTCTCTGCATTTCTCTGAGAAGACTGCTCAAGGAGAAATCCAAACTTAGGTGGTAGGCTGCCAAGTGTGTCTCCTTGTTCCTGTTTTGATCCTTGTTCCTGTTTTTATTCCTGTTCCTGTTTGTGTTCCTGTTTTGTGGGGAGTATAAAAGGGAGCTATGCAGTTGAAAATATAGCATTTGGTTCTTTACCAGATGATTCTTTGTCTTTCTTTCTCTCGCCCTCAGCCCTCCACCGATCCAAGGAACTCAGTCAGCTATGCTGGTGTAGCTGACAAGAGAGAGAGAGACAGACAGAGAGAGAGAGAGAGAGAGAGAGAGAGAGAGAGAGAGAGAGAGAGA